CTACTGGTACCTAGACTCAAGGGAGACTAACAGCAATGACAAAAGTATACGATGTCGAAAGCTAAACGCAATAGTTAAGTTAAAATCTAATTTCTTTAAAAAATGACCAAGAGTGAACAGAAAGCGGAGTGCGATACGACATGCAACAGTGAACTCAGTAGCTACTCTAATGTAACCTACATTTCTTCGTAACCTAGCCGATCTCACGACGTAACACCTATTTCTTAAAATTCTTCCCTCAAAATAATCTCTTTACGCCCGATTGATAAATGAACTCTCTGTCGGTGGATTTTCATAGCATGCAACACTTTATTATTTGCCCCTTGTTACCAGTACTTATATGTAAGTACTCTGCACCAACATATTGTTTCGGTAGCCCCTATTAGGTAATACTCAACAGGCAACACCATGATCATCCCCCCTCCTTGACCAGATAAAGGGTGGTTACCGCCTTAGAAAAAACCATGAATTTCACTTAAATGTTTATAACTTCATCAAACGCTTGTACATAGGTATATAACAAGTGAATATCTGGTCCAAAGTCCTCAAATCTCTCTATTTCGTAGTGATATCCTCGGCTTCACACTGATTTTCATTACTGTCGTGCGCACATTCATCTTCTTCCACCTAAGCTTGCCCCTAAACAGTAGGTTTGGAATACTTCTTCAAGTACGTTTTGTAGTCAGTGCAAAGAATTTACCCACATGTGTCATGGTTGATCGACTCCTGCGTATTTTTGTGCTCCTGTTTCGAATTTCGCCCACTGCTCACTTTTGTTATTCACTTTTCAGGTTTACCTAACCAGTCCTGCATTCAAATGGAATCCTACAAATCGCATTTGCCAGTGTGCACCATGCGATCAAAGCCTTATGACGAACGCGCATACCTGAAGGTCATGACTGTGATGAGGCCTCACCTTCAAGAATATTGGAAGATCCAAGCAATAACCGAATAACTCCTAATTTCGAAGTGAGCCTGCTTCAACACACCTCTTATATGCCACGAATAACGGTATCTAATGCAAAGCTTAACCTTTTACATAATGCTCATTTCTCATTACCAAAATGATCAAACCTGTAAACTGGTTTGTACTCATGTAACTTACATTGTATGAAACATGTATATTATTCTGAAACGATACTGCTGAAGAAAGGTTTCAATTTCTTTTTGCCCAGAAAGCCTTTAAAAGAGCTAGAATTAACCCCGATTGTGGAGCCAGTTTTATCTGATACCTAAAGAAGATGTACATACAGTACGTCATAGATTCAGAACTGTCATAGCAAATCAGAAGCTCGGTGTTTCTAACCTAACGAAAGCAGAACGTGCGTCTCTCGAAACTAATATCTAACAAATAAGTGGTCGTAACGAAAGCAGACAAAAGCACTGTCATGGTCACGTTAAGCAAAGAAGGTTATGAAAGGAAGGCACCGGTGCAGTTGGAAACTTCACCGTATGAGCTTATCGCGTGTAATAAAAATGCAAGCAGAGTAGATGAGACTAAAGCTGAAACATCCAAGTTATCTGGAGAAATGAAACTTAGACTTGGAAATGCAATGTGGTTTTCGTTAGCCTCCAAAACGTATACGGCCTCCAGACTCAACGGCATAGGGAACGTTTACGAAACGGGGATTCCCCCCGGGTCCAGTTGTAGACCTTATGAATTTGATTACTCGACGCCTGTCTGTATATCTAACAAGTATTCTGAAACCTCTTCGATGTGATATTTCTTCAAATGCTAATAATGCACGGGATTTCGAAAACAAACTGTTGAATGTAACCGCTGGAGAAAATAATCCACTAGCATACCAGTGTGTGAAGGACATGCATTATGGGAACTTTTATTGATAACAGCCAGCGTAATTTCTGGATGCCTGCTTTCAGAGGGGGATACCCTGAAACTGGTAAAGACTTGCTTAGAATCTACATATTTCACGTTCGGATACAGAGTTTACCGTCAGTCAAATGGGGTTGCAACTGGTTCCCTGGAGTCTCCGACTATGTTGAGTCTTTATATGGAAGCTTTGAAGAAGAGAGCTTTAAGACGTTTCCGACGCCAACCCAGAATGTGGTGCAAGTCACCGTGCTGTTCGTCAGCCACATGAGTCAACCTACGACGGATTGTTCGGTCTTTAGGCTACACAAATGACAGCATGTTGTCTATCCAAAGGATATAAAATCGCTTTCAGGATCGTTCAGTCAAGAGTCACCGTACTTAAGAGGTTACAAAATGTCAAGCGGATTCACTTAACTTATGAACAACTAATTGATACATCACACTGGATTGTCTTGACACACTGACGAGATGCTGTACCATGCAGATACAAAAGTACCTCCGCTCTGCGGAAACGTAATCATGTTGGACCACTGGGCTTTCGTATTATTCGGAAATGTACCCCACAGGTGAGTATACCGAAAGATGTGGTACCACTTCTTTCTGGGTAGCACTTTAACAAATAAAGGTCGAAAGTCTCCATCCTGTTTATCAGGACGATATGCTTTCATGGTAAATTTCGTGTTATTTTTCCTTACTGGCACTACATATTCTCTATAGCGTGTCGGTTTTTGCTGCGTCAGTTTTGTAATTATATGCCACAATGTCACAGGTTTGCTTTTTACTCCTTAACTGTAAAAGCCATAGAAACATTTGCACATGAATGTGGAACATGTGAAATACTGAGTTGCACTGTCATGGTCACGTTAAGCAAAGAAGGTTATGAAAGGAAGGCACCGGTGCAGTTGGAAACTTCACCGTATGAGCTTATCGCGTGTAATAAAAATGCAAGCAGAGTAGATGAGACTAAAGCTGAAACATCCAAGTTATCTGGAGAAATGAAACTTAGACTTGGAAATGCAATGTGGTTTTCGTTAGCCTCCAAAACGTATACGGCCTCCAGACTCAACGGCATAGGGAACGTTTACGAAACGGGGATTCCCCCGGGTCCAGTTGTAGACCTTATGAATTTGATTACTCGACGCCTGTCTGTATATCTAACAAGTATTCTGAAACCTCTTCGATGTGATATTTCTTCAAATGCTAATAATGCACGGGATTTCGAAAACAAACTGTTGAATGTAACCGCTGGAGAAAATAATCCACTAGCATACCAGTGTGTGAAGGACATGCATTATGGGAACTTTTATTGATAACAGCCAGCGTAATTTCTGGATGCCTGCTTTCAGAGGGGGATACCCTGAAACTGGTAAAGACTTGCTTAGAATCTACATATTTCACGTTCGGATACAGAGTTTACCGTCAGTCAAATGGGGTTGCAACTGGTTCCCTGGAGTCTCCGACTATGTTGAGTCTTTATATGGAAGCTTTGAAGAAGAGAGCTTTAAGACGTTTCCGACGCCAACCCAGAATGTGGTGCAAGTCACCGTGCTGTTCGTCAGCCACATGAGTCAACCTACGACGGATTGTTCGGTCTTTAGGCTGCACAAATGACAGCATGTTGTCTATCCAAAGGATATAAAATCGCTTTCAGGATCGTTCAGTCAAGAGTCACCGTACTTAAGAGGTTACAAATGTCAAGCGGATTCACTTAACTTATGAACAACTAATTGATACATCACACTGGATTGTCTTGACACACTGACGAGATGCTGTACCATGCAGATACAAAAGTACCTCCGCTCTGCGGAAACGTAATCATGTTGGACCACTGGGCTTTCGTATTATTCGGAAATGTACCCCACAGGTGAGTATACCGAAAGATGTGGTACCACTTCTTTCTGGGTAGCACTTTAACAAATAAAGGTCGAAAGTCTCCATCCTGTTTATCAGGACGATATGCTTTCATGGTAAATTTCGTGTTATTTTTCCTTACTGGCAACGTTTTTTAAAGGCACTACATATTCTCTATAGCGTGTCGGTTTTTGCTGCGTCAGTTTTGTAATTATATGCCACAATGTCACAGGTTTGCTTTTTACTCCTTAACTGTAAAAGCCATAGAAACATTTGCACATGAATGTGGAACATGTGAAATACTGAGTTGCACTGTCATGGTCACGTTAAGCAAAGAAGGTTATGAAAGGAAGGCACCGGTGCAGTGGAAACTTCACCGTATGAGCTTATCGCGTGTAATAAAAATGCAAGCAGAGTAGATGAGACTAAAGCTGAAACATCCAAGTTATCTGGAGAAATGAAACTTAGACTTGGAAATGCAATGTGGTTTTCGTTAGCCTCCAAAACGTATACGGCCTCCAGACTCAACGGCATAGGGAACGTTTACGAAACGGGGATTCCCCCCGGGTCCAGTTGTAGACCTTATGAATTTGATTACTCGACGCCTGTCTGTATATCTAACAAGTATTCTGAAACCTCTTCGATGTGATATTTCTTCAAATGCTAATAATGCACGGGATTTCGAAAACAAACTGTTGAATGTAACCGCTGGAGAAAATAATCCACTAGCATACCAGTGTGTGAAGGACATGCATTATGGGAACTTTTATTGATAACAGCCAGCGTAATTTCTGGATGCCTGCTTTCAGAGGGGGATACCCTGAAACTGGTAAAGACTTGCTTAGAATCTACATATTTCACGTTCGGATACAGAGTTTACCGTCAGTCAAATGGGGTTGCAACTGGTTCCCTGGAGTCTCCGACTATGTTGAGTCTTTATATGGAAGCTTTGAAGAAGAGAGCTTTAAGACGTTTCCGACGCCAACCCAGAATGTGGTGCAAGTCACCGTGCTGTTCGTCAGCCACATGAGTCAACCTACGACGGATTGTTCGGTCTTTAGGCTACACAAATGACAGCATGTTGTCTATCCAAAGGATATAAAATCGCTTTCAGGATCGTTCAGTCAAGAGTCACCGTACTTAAGAGGTTACAAAATGTCAAGCGGATTCACTTAACTTATGAACAACTAATTGATACATCACACTGGATTGTCTTGACACACTGACGAGATGCTGTACCATGCAGATACAAAAGTACCTCCGCTCTGCGGAAACGTAATCATGTTGGACCACTGGGCTTTCGTATTATTCGGAAATGTACCCCACAGGTGAGTATACCGAAAGATGTGGTACCACTTCTTTCTGGGTAGCACTTTAACAAATAAAGGTCGAAAGTCTCCATCCTGTTTATCAGGACGATATGCTTTCATGGTAAATTTCGTGTTATTTTTCCTTACTGGCAACGTTTTTTAAAGGCACTACATATTCTCTATAGCGTGTCGGTTTTTGCTGCGTCAGTTTTGTAATTATATGCCACAATGTCACAGGTTTGCTTTTTACTCCTTAACTGTAAAAGCCATAGAAACATTTGCACATGAATGTGGAACATGTGAAATACTGAGTTGTCAACTAAATGCAAAGGACATGATGCTAACATAATTGCTATACATCGAAGTTCTGGATGTGAGGTGGAGGACTTCATCCTGAATAAGCTGGCTGTCTGGACAGGTAACTGCCTACTTGTATGAGACTTCGGCGCACCAACAGTTGACAGGATGACAAAAGAAGCATGATGTAATTCTTTTTATCATACGTTAGTGGAAATGTCAATTTCTCCGGCTCCTACACAGCACATCAAGGCAGCAACCAGATGGAATCATCGGCATGCTCCGTGAGTCCTAGACTTAGTACTGTCGCACACAGATGATGCAAACTTCATCCAGCACCTCATACCCTTTAGTAAAAGTGGTCATGCTGCTATCCTTTTCAGATTCGTCGCAGCTGTCTTGTGTCAAACCAATATTCCAGCTAGACTCAGTGTATTAAAGGTCAGTATGGCTGCCATTAACTTGGAAGCCCCTTTGAAAGATCGAACATTCAGTCCAGAAGGCTCAGGCGAGGCTACATGACGCTCGTTTGAACAGTTGTATGCACGAGTGACTCAAGCGTTCATTCCGTGGACTGTTCCGGGGGAAGGATGGAAACATTGTCCTCCGTGGGAGTACCGAGGTGATGAAGCGTTACAAGGGAGCCCTAAATAAATGTATCACTGCTCTCTGTCAAACGCAAATATGCTTTGAAACACGTTTTGCCAAGGCTGCACTGCAAAATCCAAAGCGGTTATTTCCTTATATGAAATATAGGAATTAGACGCATTGTAGTATGCCAGCCGTGGTCAGAGAGGCAGAAACTAACAGTGTGATAGGGGGTGATAAGGCGAAAACAGAAGCTACGGCAGGATATTTGGCTGAGATCTTTACTCAGAAACTTCCTGCGGACACTAAATCAACAATAGAACCATTCACGTACAACAGAATACGTTCTGTGGACATCGACTGTAATGATGTGTTCAATGCACAAGTGCTCTGAGTATCGAAAAATAAACAGAAGCGGAAGAATTGCACCCGAAGATACTCCGAGAGTTTGCTGTTCATGCAACCGGCTCATTGACTATAATATTTAGATTGCCCCTCCGTGAACACACTCTTCACACCTATCTATAAGGGAGGCTACAAAACGATGAGTTCGACTGGTACCTCACCACAAATCCCCAGAATAGCAATCAAGAAAGCCATTACAGTTCACCTACGCAACACGACTACATTGCCTTGTTCGTAGTATGACTTTCTCAGAAGCTTATAATATTCGACATTGCCTCTCACAGTAAGAGAAAGTTGGATTGCACCTAGGGATGATAGAATACCTGTAGATGTCATCTTCATAGGTTCTGCTTAGGTCCTCAACAAGATGCATCATTACTAATCCTACAACAGGAAGTTTGAAGTTGAACTACAAAATTGTGAAATGACCTTGTGATCAGGATGCGGTCTTCCAAACTCTAGGTGGTTGCGTGGTAAGTACTTTTATCCCACCATTTATGCTAAGTAGATAAGGTCAGTACAAGCTGATGTGTCGGCCAACTTCCTACTGTTATAAACTGGCACCACTCCTGACCGAAGTGCAAGTAGTACCTTATTTTAATTTCCACGGACACTTGAACGTCTTCACGTATCTACCTACATATATCACCAGCGGCCAAACGATTAGCTTTACAACATCACAGCGCTTTCAGTTTAGCTTATGCTTAACACTAAGGCTATTAGCCTTTACTGCTCAATTGATTGTTATACCAAATTTCATTGTTACCCCCTTCCCTTCCTTTCGTGATTCTACTGCTGTTGATTACCTTCTTTATTGACTTATATCGTTTTGTAGCCTTTCGCCTTGATATGTTGATGCACAGTGTGGTCCGTTACACCAACATGACGGGTCTTATGTTGATGCTGACTGGCACTTTGAAAGTTGTCTATCTGTTGGAAGTCGAATACGTAGACCAATAATCCATAGACCGTTCGTACGGTGACCTCATGAACAGTTTCATTTCTGGACTTCCTTGGTGTAAAATTCAGAATAAAAGTGCTAAGTACACTGTCAAGAGTGACAAATTTAAGAATTATGCTGTTACATCAGAATTTTTAAGTTCTGCAGTTTTAGGTGAAGGTTGGCCAGTTGATAAAACATAGCTTCATCGATGATTGGGAGATTACATATACCTAGTCATTTTCTGCTCGGAGACTCCGGATGATATGAATAAGAATCGATTTCTGTCGCAGATACATCCAGCATCATAAATCTTCATACGCATTTTGTTATTGTTCCAACCTCTCTTCCCTCTTTGTTGATACTCTAAGACATTTGATTCCATCTACTTTCCCCATTTCATTATTTTTCATCTTGTTATATTGTATCTTGATATAAGTGTATGAGATGGGGTAACTGGGACAATTACACATGTTTGCTAGGTCTCACCTTGATATCAGCTGACTGATCACAACGCAACACTGAATAAATAAAAGCGACGAAACAGAGAAAAGGTCAGCGAGGGCATAAAATTTCATTGAAAACAAGTAGGTTTTATTAGTTTTGGTGTAGGTAGCATAACATTACGGCTAGACCACTACCGATTGTCACTATCGTTCACATCTAGTAAAGCCACGATCCATCTGTACACAATTTTGTTTTTTGTAAGGCTTCAAAACCGTAACCGAGAAATAGTAGACAGAAAGCACATGGAAATCGTTTTATCCTCAGGGATATGAAATAATTACGTCATTGATATGCGCTTGCACTCATGTTCAAACCGAATGACTGTCTGGAAAGCTATATAAATACTTAAAGTCTCACGCAGCAGAAAAGGTTAAGATTGGTGCGTTGCCTTTTTTTTCGCGCAAATATTCATCTCTACCACACTTATTATCATCATTCAGATGAAAAGAATTTCTACCCGCCGACTGCCAAGAGTTGTTACAGGTAGGTTTCTACCGAGGAAGTTGACAGACATTGGTGTCTCAGTTGTTTCTCTGAGTTTTGATCAGTTACTTTAAATTCATGCAGTGAAAACTGATCATGATATAAAGTGACTTTTGTCCTAAATAAAAGGAGGGGGGATAAATTCGCTGATTTCACAGATGATACTCAAGAGACGAAACCTCTCCATTACTTGTCAACACATAATATCAAACTTTACCAGAAACAAGTAGAAGCTTCATGGCTCAAAGGCTCCTAAAAGTGCTGTGCAATAACCCAATAACCCCAACTACCGCGAGAGGCTTAATTCAAGTAAACCAATTAAAACTTCTACCTTGTAAGACTTGTTATCGATGGCACTGATGACATTCGTAAGTCTTTGAATGTTTACTACTCTAAGTCTTGTATCTTTGGTAATGATGTACTTTAATCTCAAATTCATTCATTTATACACGGCTACGTAAACAATATTTCCTACTCGCCAGAAGACATAACGAATGCCTCGTTTCATTAAGCAGTTCAAACAACACTGCTTGATATCAATACCCTCAACCTTCAAATACGTCACTATGCATCCCGTATCTCCTCAATTTTTTCCAGACCTCTATTTACTGAAAACTTGAGGAACTGGAGGCGATTGTGCCTAAATTTAGTTCGATATCATATTCATGCGATTCAGACCCTAGCTCTATTTCGCTAGCCTTACTCTTATCCTAAAGGTCCTCAATAATATGGTTAGAAGTGCAGCTTCTGAATATCTTCCACAGGGAAAACCCAAAACCCATGTGATCATGGCTTCGTGAGTTGGCATCCTTGTGAAACCTACCCTGTAAAATGTTTTAGTCATAAACTGCTGCTGAAAGATGTAGGTATGTCTGTGGTAGTAATCAGTGTACTTTGACCACCATACTGTCGAAAAAGCGGTTCACTATATGCTGGTTAGTGTTGTGTAATTGCTTGGGTTCCTATACTCCGCAAAATAGGCTAAGACTAGTGTGTGACCGTCGCTTTTCCGTCCAAGTTTTCATCTCTTTTACCACACTTATTGCAACTGTCCAGATGTGAAACGATTACTTTTATCAGTCCACTGGCAGTAGTAATCTCAAGTCGGTTCATACCGATCTTGCGAACTTGCTTTTTTACTCATGTCGATTAAAGGGGTTACTACCATCGTAGGTGTGATTCAAAGCTAATTAATTCCAACTTAATTAGCCTTTGTGTTATTGCCCTCTGATTCACATGTCCTTTTATTGTTGTGCATTTTTATGTATGGACTGTACGAACATCGGTTTGCTTTCTTTTCACTGTCGATCACCAATAATTCGCAAAAACGTGAAGACATCTAGTGTTTATTATCCGAAATGCACGTCGCAAATGGTTGTGCTGGTCACTTTTATTGTTGTTAGCTTAGAGTCTATCTTGGTTCAGTATTTATTTGTAATGCTAGGTGTTGTCGATTAGTGCGTTTTAGTCTGCTCAAGATGATAGTATTGTCGACCTCCAAAACCCGGATGGACTTCGTTTTCTTGAGTTTAAGCGAAAGGTCTAGAACCCAGTTATTGGTTGGAGCATAGTTTACCTGTGAAAAAATGACATGTTGCTTATTTGTGGTAGCTGTTGGCTAGAAATAAGTTGTGATGTGCTCAAAGCTGCATTTTATGTACGATCATCTAGTTCCTACTGACCATGTAAACGATTCTTATGGACCTAGATAACTGATTCACATATTTAGCTACCAGTCAGGGCTACATTGTTGTTCCAGCACACGAAGTTCATCACTTGAGCAATCATAGGATTCCTTTCTTCTTTTTCCATCTGTGATCGTTTTGTTTACCAACCACCTACTCTAATTGAACCTTAGCACCAAAGGCAAAGAATTGCAGTTGGTGCAAGTCAGTTGAATTTCTGTGCAGATAACTGTAACCGATTTTTCAAATATTTTCTTCTGGGTAATTGGCAATCACAAAAGCAACTCGATCTATAAACAGAAAGCTAGGAACAAACATTATTACCGAAGAGAGGCTAACTAACTAGATTTATTTTGTTACATATGTGAATATCAATCGGTTTCTCGAATAGTGATGAATATTAATTGACCAAGTTGTAGGTTTGAGCTGCATTATAAAATATGACGACACAACGAAACGCAGAGATTCGCGCGGAAGAACGTTTTTCCAAGTTAACATACTTCACAGTAACATGCAAAGAACAGGCAGGTAGGGAAAGTGATACCAAAGGTATATTAAAGGAAAAGGGATTTGAAAATCGAGCTTAGTGAAAATGCTCAAGATTTGGAAAACGTCAAAAAGTGAATACATTTGCACCAATATGACAGATTTCCGGTCCAGTCACCAAAAGTCTCCAGTGATTGACTTCTATTGTCTCGACAACTACAACCAAACAGTTGACATTCCCCTTCAGAACAAGTCACGTCTTGATCTGGCCACTCTTCAGATCAATCCTTCATCCAACCGAATCACACGTCAGCTAACATTACACGTGGATATAGGGGTAACTCGGCATACCGAGCTATTGCCTAAGCCACTTCAGTCGATGAAGGTATATAAAATCACCAACTGATTTGTCTAGTTCCCTTCACCTAACCCCGACATCGCTCACACGATGTTCTCACCATCCGTGAACAATGCTACAAAGAAGTCTGTAGTCAGAAACGACCATAACTAAGCCGTATAGCAGGACAGAGAGAACAAAAGAGCAGAGTACTTATTCTTTTATGGGTAATCAGATATCTCACCGGCTCCAAAAGTGACACAAGTTAGCAAATGCTGAACGGGCTTTCTATATCCGAGCTGAAGTTTCGTCAGCAACCAACTTATTTGAACTTATGCAACCCCCCCTCCCAAGTAAGTGAAGTGGTCGACACATTCCACGACTTTACTCGCTATCATTAAGCTAGGAGTCGTTATACTTCAGTCCTGGGGCCTTACACTTGATAGGTGCGAAACGCATGCCAAACATTTCTGCTCCACGCGTTCAACAGATCCTCCATTTATTCATCATCTTTGACTAACAAGACAGTGTCGTGTGCATACTGTAAATAAATGGAGGGCCCTCCAGGGAGTAGGCCAATCCCTGTGAAGTCGGAGGTACGTAAGGTTGTGTCCATCAATACATGTGTAGCGAAGTTGAGGAAGAACGGTGACAAATGGACATCTTTGGCGGACACCACTAGTTGTCGTCAATTCAGATAACAACTCTACACAAGCCCTTACGTGTTTGCCTGAATTCGAGTAAAGAGCTTTGATAAGTAGTGTAGGCTTCCTCTGTACTCCCTTCACAGACAGACGCTGCCACAACACCTCATGGTTGACGAAGTCAAATACCACCCTCAGTTCAAGAAGTATGGCAAGTGTCGGCCGTTGAGCGGTATGCTTGCGTTCCAGGACCTGCCGTGGGATGAAAACATGATTGATGTACCCTCATCCAGGTCTGAAATCTGACTGGTTCCCTCGAATTTGCTGTTCTCGAACTCCAGTTAAACGTCGGATAACTATGAACCCTAGGATCTTCTACCCGATATTAGTCAAATTGATTCCCCTGTGATTTTATGAACTTTCGGATCTAAATTTGAGTTAAGTAAGTTGAGCATTAAGTGAATAGATTATCGATGAAATATATTTGTAAAATCCCAATAAGGTAGAAAAATAAATTTCTGACGTTTTGTGACTTCGTGGAAATCGTTTCTTCAGAGAATGAAACCTGTTCACGTTATCGTCTGTTTGAATAGTAAATGGTGACAGACCACATCACGTCGTTCATGCAAGCTAGTGATATGGACATATGGGTTTCATGTAGCTTGATGTTTGTTCACAGCATGAGGTGTTTCCAGGTCAGCGAAGGTCAACTCCAGTCATCGTTTCCTTAACATTCGGTGTTTGTACAAAAGTATCATACCTAGTTCACTTCACATAGAACTACCGGAAATATCACCTCGATCAGTGCAAACAGCTAAAGTTACATCTCGAACTTTCCTACGCGAAAGAATATATAAATGCACATTAGCAATGGAACAACATCATATTCGTATTAAGAACATTGACGACCGTCCTAATATACTTATTCTTCACCATCAGCCTTCCGGAATAAGTAAATCATGTCAAGATTGAGAATCAGAATATTTCCAAAATAGTAAACAGAGGCATATTTGAAAATTTGAACATCTAATCAGCTAGAAAAAACCGAAACCAGATAAAAAATAATACAAGCGATACAAGAGTGATAAGTGATTTGTCCGCAAGTAACGAAGTGGGCATGAAACGATATTACTGAAGAAAAGTTTCAATTTCTTTTTGCCCAGAAAGCCTTTAAAAGAGCTAGAATTAACCCCGATTGTGGAGCCAGTTTTATCTGATACCTAAAGAAGATGTACATACAGTACGTCATAGATTCAGAACTGTCATAGCAAATCAGAAGCTCGGTGTTTCTAACCTAACGAAAGCAGAACGTGCGTCTCTCGAAACTAATATCTAACAAATAAGTGGTCGTAACGAAAGCAGACAAAAGCACTGTCATGGTCACGTTAAGCAAAGAAGGTTATGAAAGGAAGGCACCGGTGCAGTTGGAAACTTCACCGTATGAGCTTATCGCGTGTAATAAAAATGCAAGCAGAGTAGATGAGACTAAAGCTGAAACATCCAAGTTATCTGGAGAAATGAAACTTAGACTTTTTGGCTGTGATAAATGACATAAATTGCAATTGCCGACTTGATTTGTAAATTTTTTGGTTCTACAGGATTATTCAGTGGTTTGTTTTTGCAACTTGCATGTTCTTTAGGCCAAATAAGGATCTCGTGGGTTAATCCTTAATATGATAGGCATCAAAATCGACAGCCTGATTTGTAGACACAATTCTATGTGGAAGTGTAAGAAATTTTATCTTTTAAGTGGACTAAATCATTCCTGAGACGAAGACATTTATGCCCATATCATCATGTATGAACTACGTGGTCTGATGTCACCATTCACTATTTATGTCGATAACTTGTACTGGTTTTATTATTTGAATAAGCGATTTCCATGAAGTCGCGAAACGTCAGATACTTATTTTTCTACTTCATTGGGGCCAATCTGACGGGGCCACCTCTGATTCTCATGCACCACCGCAGTTCCTCTGTTGCTCTACTCGTTAGTTTCTGACCTTATTTCAACACCTCATGGAAAACCGTCAGGCTCTGCTGCTTTGCATCCCTCCATATATTTAGAAATACAAAGTAATTCTCAATTAAAAGATGATTCGTTTTCTTTAGGCGGAAGTGTGTTAAGTTCGTTGCCAATTATTCTGACGACTGAGCAAAAATCTTGGGTTACACGTTTCACTTCCCAGATTAAATTCGTTTCATTTTTCTGCACATTTGTTATGAGTTACCTATAACATTTTATAGTTATAATTTTTGTCCTTTCAGGTTATAATCATTTTGAAAGTTTTGGTTTCACTTCGGATGATCATTAATCATAACACTGTGACATGAGCGGTGTTAACGTTCATTTAAACTGTCCACCTTTTTGATATCTACTGGAATTCCATCTTTCGACGAATTACTCGGTAAAATATAGATAATTGATGTTATCAGTGTTCATTTATAGGTGGTGGTGTGGCTTCAGCGAGTGTAGTTCTTATCGGTAAGCAAAATGTTCACTATCAACCCTCTTCTTCAATTTAAAGAACCTGATTTTCACCAAACATATTCAAAACTTCTTTTGAATTTGTTTGTTGCTGAAGGTGTTCTGTCAGGGCATGGTATATTCTATGGCGCTACCGAAACATTTGATAATTTGCTTTGTGTAAACCAATTAGTTTCTCTTAATTTTGTAGAAATTACCAGGTGTTATGACTTCAGTGGATGAAACTAAAGAAGAGAATTTAGACCTTAAGATAGCTTGGCGTTACAAAAACCTTTCAAATATTGAGGTTTTTATTACTTCCTCCGTATTATTTCGTTTCCAGAATTCTAGCCCATCTACTTCAAGTTTGGGACATCACTTCAATTTGTCAATACCGATGGATGCTGTTACTCGAATGACAGAGATAAATGTACCAAGTTTTCATTTCCAACCGGATAGTAAGAAGTCGTAAGTGCTATCCATATCTTTGCTAAATTGCAATAGTTTACAAATTAATTTGAGTAATTTGTGCCAGGAGTTAATTAAGTTCCAGTGCAGTGCTAAAGCTCCCTCCAGCATACGACGAATCGGTTTGTTGACTTTCAGTTTTATAACATTTAGCCACTTTTATGCTCAGTACTAAACTCATGCGGCTCTCCTCTGTGGGGTCATTGCAAAGATACTCAACAATTCTACAAGGCGATGCTGAATTTCTTTGCTACATTACGACTCATTATTCAAAACAGTTCGTGTACAGTTTTTGTTACCTTACCCACGCTTAAGGTAAGTCTTCATCTGAAACTAATGTTTGTTCTTGCTTAATGGATTTCCTTCATTTCCACCATTTCCCATACACATCAGTAAGTTGTGTGAACTACACAGGTATCACTGGTGGTTACTGTGTAATTCAAATGTTCCACCGGGAACCGTTTTGCATTCTAATACTGGAAAGCTTTAATCCACAGTTTGTGTTAATTGAATCTTAAACTCAAACGATATCCCTCAAACTACTACTATTTATCTCTGTCTAAATTCAAACCAAGTAAATAAATGTTAAGTACAAGATAACCTGGTCTCCCAATCTTGTTCAACCATATCTACCTTCTGAGTCTGGACAGAAACAGCCGTATTAGGTCTAATGTTACTAATGTCTTCCTCTCCCCCCCTCTCTCTCTCTCTCTGACAAAATTATTATTATTTATTATTAGTCCCTTGGGTTCCTAGTGGAACATAGGGCTTCAGTAGCACGCCTCCAGTGACCTCTGTTCTCTGAGATCTTTTGAACCTGGTTCCACGACAGCCCAGAAGCTCTCATTTCCTCCTCGCACGACCTCCTCCATGTCACCCTCGGACGTCCAACTCGTCGCTTCCCATGGGGATTCCACTCGAGGGCCTGACGCGTGATGTCCTCAGTCGGCCTTCTCAGTGTATGCCCAATCCATCTCCACTTCTTCCTGCATATTTGTTGCGTGATAGGTTCTTGGTTGGTTCGTTCCCAGAGTTCCTTGTTGCTTATTTTTTCTGGCCATCTGATCTTCAGCAGCGAGCGTAAGCAGTTGTTGATGAATGTCTGTAGTTTATTGGAAATGCCTTTCGTGACGCGCCAAGTCTCTGAGCCATACAAGAGCACTGACTTGACGTTGGTGTTGAAAATCCGTATCTTGTTCCGCATGCTGAGTGCAGAAGATCTCCACACTGGTTTCAGGCTAATGAATGCCTGTCTTGCTTTTCCGATTCTGACTTTGACGTCCTCGTCCGTCCCGCCTGTAGTTGAAACAGTGCTTCCTAGATAAGTGAAGGAGGTTACTTCCTTCAAGTTTCTACCGTTGACGGTGATTGGAGTTTGTTGTTGTTGTTGATGGTGGTGGTGCGGTATCTTCATCACTTCTGTCTTCTCTATATTCACCTGAAGTCCCGTCTTAGCTGCCTCCTCTGTCAACTTGTTAGTTTTTGCCTGCAGATCTTCAAGTTTATGTGACATTAGGCATAAGTCATCGGCGAAATCCAAGTCTTCTAGGTTCTTTTCCGTCGTCCAGTGTATCCCCCTCTTCTCGCTGCCTACTGTTTGCTGCATGATCCAGTCCACCACAATTAGGAATATCATGGGGGATAGTAGGCAACCTTGTTTCACTCCTGTCTTCACTTCAAAGGCATCACTGAGCTTCCCATTGTGGATTACTTGGCATGTGGCATCTTCATATAGTTGTTGAATGAGGCGGATAAAGGTTTGCGGTACTCCGTAGTATTGAAGCAGTTTCCAAATTACTTCTCGGTCGACGCTGTCAAAGGCCTTCTCAAAGTCGATGAAGTTGAGGTATAGAGCTGATTGCCATTCTACGCTCTGTTCTATGATGATACGAAGCGTTGCAATTTGGTCAGCACATGATTTGTACTTCCTGAAGCCTGCCTGTTCCGGTCGCAGTTTTGAATCCAGTGCGTCTTTAAGCCTCTCCAGGATGATGCGGCTTAATATTTTACTTGGGGTGGATAGGAGAGTGATTCCGCGCCAGTTCTTGCAAGCACTGAGGTCTCCCTTCTTCGGCAGTTTGACAAGGTAACCCTTCTTCCAATCGTCAGGTACCTTCTCTTCCCTCCACACCTTCTGCAATAGTGGTGTGAGCATGTCCGCTGTTGTCTCTGCATCTGTTCTCAGTGCTTCTGGCGGTATTCCATCTGGTCCTGCTGCTTTCCCGCATTTCAGTAGCTTTATGGCGTTCAGGACTTCCATTTTCGTTGGGGGATTTATGTTCACTTGTAATTCAGCGGCTGCAGGTGGTATTTCTGGACGAAGTGCAGGTGGTGGTCGATTCAAGAGCTTCTTGAAGTGGTCGGCCCATCGTTTCCTCTGTTTCTCTTCTTTTGTAATTAAATTTCCTTCTTCATCTTTTATTGGTTTCATCTGTGTTGGTCTCTTCCCTGATAGCAACCTGGTTATTTGATACAATGTCGTCAGGTCTCTCTTACCTGCAGCCTGTTCTGCTTCACTTGCCAGTGTGTCGTAGAAGTGTCGTTTGTCTTTGCGTGCACTCTTCTTCACTTCTTTATCCAGTGTTTTATACATTGTGCTCAGTTCCTCTTGTCGTTGAGCATCCTTGCACTGGTTTATCTTCTGCTTCACCATCCTCCTCTCCTCTATCAGCTTCCAGGTATCCGTCGAGATCCATTCCTTGTCTTCTTTCTTCTTCCTTCCTAATACTGTTGTGCAGGTTTCTTTCCACATAGCTTTCAAAGACTTCCAGTGTTCTTCTACACAGGTTTCTTCAGGGATGTCCCTCGACGTCTCCCATTTTGTCTTGATGGCTGCTTTGAAGATCTCCTTTGTAGTTTCATCCTTCAGTTTCCGAGTGTTGTACTTGAATTGAGGTCTATCACCAGCTTCCTTGAAGGCTTTTAACTTGATTTCGAAGGTTCCTTGCACTAGATAGTGGTCTGAACCTACATCTGCTCCTCTTCTTGACCTTGTGTTAAGTAGACTGCGTCTCCATTTTCTTGAGATTGAGATAAAGTCGATTTGATTTTTAGTGTGTCCATCTGGTGAAATCCATGTCGCTTTGTGGATATCCTTGTGCCTGAACACACTGCCTCCAATCACCAAATCGTTGAATGCACAGAATTCTGCAAACAATTCTCCATTCTCATTCATTTCACCTAGCGCCTCTCGACCCATGGTTAGTTCTCTTCCCGTGTTGTCCCCTCCCAGTTTGGCATTCATGTCGCCCATTAGAATTTTGATATCGCCAACTGACGTCTTGTCCAGTGTTGACTGAAGTTGTCTGTAGAATTCCTCCTTTTTCTCTTGCTCTGCATTATTTGTAGGTGCATAACATTGTATGATTGTGACCTTTCTTCCTTTTGAGTTGAATCTTGCTGACATGATCCTGGAGGAGATTGGTTCCCACTGCATGAGAGCCTTCGATGCTCTTGAGGACATCATGATAGCCACTCCCTCAGTGTGCTCGTGGTTGGCGTCTGGGTGACCGGAGTAGATTATTGATTCTCCCGTTGACAGTTTGGAGAGTCCACTCCCATTCCATCTGCTTTCGCAAATCCCAAGCACTTCGATGTTATACCTTCTCATCTCCTTTGCAATCTGGGCTGCCTTACTGGGTTCAAACATCGTGCGGACATTCCATGTCCCCACGTTTACTTTCGCTTTCATCGAGAGAAGACACATCGGCCAATTGGCTTCCCGAAGGCTTTCACCAACTGGCGTCATTTCGCCTCTCCGATTCCAGCGGGGAATAAGTTTGTTTTCATTTTTTATATTTTGTTTGTGCTTTGAAGTTTCTTTAGCGGTTAGATTTGTTTTACGGGGTAGGGTTGCTAGCCCTATGCCCAACCTTCCCTCTTTACCCGGGCTTAGGACCGGCTAGTAACTAGTAAACTAGTTAACCAGGCGAGGTTTCTCTGACAAAATACTATTGATTTACACTTACAGCTAACGACCTAATTAACACTATTCGTTGTAATACGCCAAAAAATGCTTTCATCAAGACCACTGCCATTTCTATAAACGGTTATTCAGTTAGGTCTCTAGAATATGTGGGAAGAATGTTATAGACATTTATTCGGTCTAGGTGTTACCTGGGAGGACAATCGTTTGTTTCGTAAACTATATCAGACACATTTTTGTATCTCAGTCAACAAGCTTGTGAGACTTTAAGTCTGTGTGCAATGAACGTTTATGGCTTTACATTCCATCACTATACCTTGTCTTTACCTAAATTCTGAAAATATCAGTACAAACGTCCATTTCCTGTATTATTATCATCATTGGATCTGTTTGCCTTCTCTTTCTTTTTTCAGAATCCTGACATTTATTTTTTCCCCACCAAGTTTAATCCCCTCTTATTGATTTGACCTCTTTGGTATGCCGTAGACTGTGACTAGTGCACATTTATTTTGGGTCCTATGCTGTTTATACCTGCGTTCGTTTAGAACCAATACATTAATTATAGTCATAAGGGTCGATATACAAAAAATGTCGTCTATCAGTGCTAGCCTTTGTGTTCAGAATACACTTCGCATATCCCACCCTGTTGTCATCGATGCAAATTGTAAGCATTATCACCAATATATGCGTGAATTTAACTTGTTTTTTTGTGTTCATCTATTCCATTCACCTTATCACCCAGCTACCACCAGGTCTGTTCACTCGTATATCTCACTACTGTGATTATGTATTTCAAGTACAAGGTCTTAGCGACCAGATACAAACAAATCCAGTTTACTCAGAATATGATGGTCTGTTGACAGTTATTCGTAACCCTTGGTTGATTGGTGGGAACACTCTTGAACCTGCTATCAGGCCGAGTACACTTGAATGGTGTTTCAAGATAAAACATCACCAATTAATAATGCAGGTGAGTGTAAACTTTTCGTCGCTTCTTATTTCTGAAGTAATCTAATCCTTTCTGATTGGTTATGAAGAACGGACGAAAGTATGTTAAGTCATGAATATTCCCTAATTTGGTCCCATTCGGGGAATTGCTGGACAAACGTTTAATAACCTGGATGACTTCAGCATCGTTCGTAAAGGTTACGAAACTAGTTGTGATACATTCATCCACCATAATGAAGACGTTCGTTCATGACTACCGCATCTTAGCACATGAAACACCAATCAGTTCTTATTCTAGTACTGTAACGCACTCAATCACTTGAAAGCCAACCACTTGACAACATGTTCTCATCCATTTCATTTGCTTCAGCGTGGACAGCTGCATAGTTTCGTGAACCTTAACATAAGAAGTATAGCTCTTATTTAAAAGTTTGCAGGCCTGTACAGAGTTTATAAACCACATTATTACTATTGTCGGCATTATTAAATTTTGATTCTGAGATAGGAGTCTCCGTTTCTACAGACAATTTAACCTGAAACCTAGTAACATGCACTCACCAGTTATCCATTCAGTGAGGATTCATTGGGAAGCACTTACAAGTATATATATCCATATGAGCTAAATTATTCCTTATAGCGATCTCTCACTGTCAAATTAGAACCTTGATTTACTGTGCAACTATCTTAGTTGCCATGCATCGTACCAGCACACCTTAGTTCAGTGCAACACATTAAATGAAAAACGAATGTAATGTAGTCGAACGAGCTGTTAGGACATTACGGAATATGATATAGAGATAACTATGAAGATATAGAGTAGATAGATCTATTCCACTGCAATCGATTCTGAACAGTATCATCAAGAGTTTTGGTTTTCACGCATACTGCAACCTAGAAGCCTGCATTTCCATGCATAGTTCAAACCAACAGTCAGAGACTTTAGTTACGCTTTTCGTGTCATCTCCAATTGCATAAACCGACTCGCATGTACGTGCTAAAGGACATGCGTCGGTCGAACAAAGAGGAGAGTTTGTGACCTCATTTCTGAGAATATTCCAAAGGGTTTGCGACTGAGATATGTGAAGTTCTTCAACAGGGCTACTGCTTTTTACCTTATTGATAGTGAACATAAAGTTGATATCCAGAACTCGTTCAAAACAACTGATAAACAGGTTAATTCGAGTTTGTTACGTTACGCTGAAGCGGTAGCCATTCAACGATTGAAATCGAATTTATATATTCAGAAAGAAACAGTTATCAGTCTGTCCCTACCCTGGTAAATTTTTGTGTTGTTGATAACCATGATGTTTTTTACGTATCGTTATCACTTTATGCACCTTCATTGTTATTTCATTTCACATATTGGACCTTATTCTCGGAATTCTACTTATCTTATTCTTTTAGCTGGTGTAAATTTTTAAGTAGCCTTTCTCAATATGTTGAGTACATTTGTCTCTGGTTTTTTTTGTCCAACTTCTGCTCTAGAATATTCATTGAGTTTCTCTATATATAGACAACCTTTTTCTTAGTTCTACATCGGTTTACTTAGTTCGTATGACTTCAATCAAGTAATTCCAATGTTATCTTTTCTTCAAGCAGGTAACGTTTTATAGACTAACATTTTGTATAATTCGATATTAGAATTGTTTCAGGTTGTAAGTAGCTGATAAGAAATTCCGAAATAAATTGGATCCACGCAATTTTGCTGTCGCTCTTTTTAAATGTATCAAGGGGAAGAAACTGTATGAACTGTTGTTTTATCAATCGATAATCGAAGAAATATGAAAGCTACAGCATAAGTGCCACTGTATTCTATTCTGAGCCATATCCTCAATCTTCTCAAGCCACCGAGCACGAAAATCTGTTAGATACCATTCAGGGAGTCGCGCAGCACCAACACAACCATCCCTTATCCCATGACGCCACATCGTACACTGACCAATTATGCTCATTCCGATGAGTTCCAGAGTATGGGAATAGTGAACGATATGGAAACCGAAACTCGTAATACATTTCCAAGCCACCAACGCCAGAGTTTCAAAATGACCACAGTCAATGAATGACTATCTCTGTCAGAGCCAAACACACTACCTCACCTTAGAATTACTTACATTATATGGTCCGCCTACTCAAGGTTGAAAAGTCACTTGGCAGCAGATATATGCCACCACCATGCACCTTTTTCAGGGTTTTTTCGGGAACATCGTCGATAGCAAAGCTAACGAGGAATAGTGAAATGCAGCAACCCTGTCTAACAACTAGGAGAGATGATGGTATGTCCTCATTATATCTGAAAAGTCTTTGTTTGGGGTATTGAGTGATCATAGAAAACAAGACATTGAGGTCAATGTTGCTGTAGCATTAAGCCAGGTGAACTACTTTTCAAAGTTCTCCAATCAGTGTTCCAGGTGTCTACAAAAGTTATAGATCGGCTTACCATCTGATTCGCGAATCGTCTCACTGACACCAGGCTTCATGCTACCGGTAACTCGGATGAGCTGGGACAGCCTTTATCTATTACTAAATGTAGTTGATACTCCCATCACAGTTATTCAATAATTGTGACAGACATCTTGAATCCTTATTGTTAATGTAATGTCCGTTTAAATAGTGATTTATGTAAGCAATGTAACACAACAACCACTAGGCTGAACCTCACCTATTGTATCAAGGTCGATGATAACATTCGACTACTTTAACCTTGTTAAGAAGCAAAAAGCACAGTTCAACTCCCTATGACCATTTGGTTGAATTTTGAATGTCAAAGCCAATAAGCGGTAGTTACTAGCTGGTCACTATGGAAGCAAGAATTTACATTTGTTACCTACTTGTTAATAGCTATTGAAATGGAGGTATTCAGAAAAGAGCACTGCAGACGTGATTATTAATTAATGCAAAGAATTATAATCGGCAGATGTTTTGTACTGAAAAATATCCCATATTGCTTCTAAATTGTGAGTTCTTATGGAAAGTACTCCTAGTACAAAAACTGAAGCATTCTTGCTGAGAAGTATTACTCTCTACTCTTGTATCGTGTCTACTCATTTTCGTGAATAGTTTTACTAACATATGCATTTTTATTTCCTCATTCACCGTTTTCCGCTTATCGTTACAGCATCTTCACTTACCACCGTGCCTATCAGAAACTGTGAACAGATCCAATGCACCGGAATCAATTTTCACCTGTTCCAAATCTCGTGAAAAGCAACTGGAATTTTGAGTTTATCATAGAGATGATTGATTTTGTACATATTTTTTAATCGATATCAGTACATATATATTTTTTCTCCGAACTGCTTTCACTTCTCTGTCTTGTTTTGTTGTTAATAATCCTTATCGCTTATGAAGTAGCGGTATATTTTTGTTTGTTGTGTTGTTGGACATGAATACGGCTTGTTTCACATGTATTTGATGTCATTTTTGTTGGTGAGTGTGACTAACAGGGTAATAATAAGTACTTCTTAGTGAGATGGATTGAGGCTAATTTATACTAATTTTAAGACAAGATCTTAACTTTACCATTTTGTGCATGGTTTGGTCCTTTTAACATACATCTCAGCTATTTTCCGTTGGAGAATCTGAATCCAAAGATCTATGTGTTCAATGAACTGACTGACAAAATCAATGTAGAACCTCGCACGCAGGTGCCGTCGGCTCAAGCTGCCGCAATTCACAGTACTACACAAAGAACAGGTGGATAAGAGTGTGAGAGAATAAACAATCTGAAGGTAAAGGTTAGTGCGAATATGCAAGCTTTAGAAGACCTCAATGAGTGAATGCATCTGCGCTATTGTGACTGATTTTCAGGCATGTCACCAAGAGTTCTCAACCACTGATTCGTACTGTCTGGGACTATAGCCAGGTTGTCTGCACTTCACTACATAACTGAAACCAGTAGTCAGGGACTTCATGGATTGGTACCATGTCTTGATCTAGTCACCTTAAACCGTCTTCCACCCTAATCCAACTTCCCTTAGCATGGCACATCGAGGTAGGCAGTGGCTCGCTTGGCATGCGCAGTACATGTGCAAGCCATCTCAGTCGACTAAGGTTCATTGGAGATAGGATTTACACTTCAATTTTTAGTTGGATGAGGTTTTTCATTCGTTCACCCAATCACTAAACATCGTATACGCTGCACCAAATAGTGTTGTATTTTTTTAGCCTAATGGTTATATTGTTTCTACTTACTGACAGAATTTCATTTGCGTTTTAAATGCCAGAGTTTTAACATAATCTCTGACATCTGTTGACTGATTATCAGCTGGTCCCTGGATGATAATAGATGTAGGTGTATCAAGTTGCAAGTGCTGGTCAGAATCTGTCAGTCTGGTCTGCGATGTGATTATCAAGCTACACTATGGTGCAGTATGTCTTGGTATTAGATGTTAGGAGTCTGGCAACAGGAAGTTCTGCTTTGTGTTGTTTTAGTGTTTGCTGTCACTCTTCATCAAGGTGTATTTGCTGCTTTGAATAAACTAACGCACCGCTCACTGATGAAGTCAAGTGGAAAATGGAATGGCAATGCACTCAGCAACTTTGTGCACATTCATGCAGTAGACAATGAGCCAAACCTATTGCTTGACGGCTACCCAAACCTCCTTAGGTAGAGCGAGGTTCGAAACCGTGACCAGTTGATAGGAAGTCATCTCCCTAAACCAATGAGCCACAGCTCCACTGAAGTCAAGTTAAAACCTTGATTCTTTGTAGGACTGAAATAGGCATACATATTAATCATAAACTTTAGTCGACGCATTAGACTTGACAGCTATATTGGGATTGTGGTTCAGAGAATAACGTTTCGAAACCCGCTCGGCATACTAAGGTTCTGGCAGCCAGGTAGTACAACCAACCTTTATGGAGTGGATGTTGATCATTCTCTATTGCACGAATATGTACGTTGTTGATTTACAGTTCTATTTTTAACCCATAAACATTCTATATTTCATGAAAAGATCGTATTCATAAATTGCATTAACTTTTGCACCTAAAAGTAGTCAGTCAGTTATTGTTAACAACCAATTGGAGGAATTCAAAACCCAATCATTTTATCAATTTGTCGTCTTTTGTTTCCGAAAATTATACGAAATATGGACAATCAAATTTTTAGAATACGCACATAATGAGTTGATTATAATTTGTCGTCTAAGCGTTCGGTTATATGTAATTTTATGTGGATGGTTGATACGTTTTTCTGGCGAACTTCAGGATGAGAGCATGAAAATTTCAAGTAATAATAGCAAGATATGACTTCAAACATGGTATAGTTAGGGATTTCAGGAGACTATTTGTCAGTGACTATGCTGAAGGTCTTATAAGTGTTAAAGATAGAAAAATTGAATTGTAACCCATTCAGTAACCATTTGCACTTTTTGTTGTTGTAGGATTTCAGCCACACGTATTGCGTGAGGGTTAATGATACTACCTGGTTACCCGGACCTTGATGGGTGATGCGAAGCCGTAATCTGTGAGTTAGATGTCAAATCCATAGAATTAATGAGCCACAACTGTAGTAGGTAGTTTCAGTGAATGAAAGGCAATCTACTGCCGTTTCTCATCTTCTGACTAAAACTACAGCTTGCTTACTTATTGTCTTATACGATAGATTACGAGCTATTTACCCGAAAATCCCTCGGACCTTCGACTGAGCTGTTTGTTGATCTGATGCTAATCGGGACTAAATTCTCTTTTGGATTCTAGATCAGTTTACGTATGCGCTTTAAATTTTGTTGGGAGAAAAATAATATCTGGTGACGGTGCTTGAGATAAGTCAGTGACTCTCAGCCACAAGGACCAAAATCGAGTACAGTGGTTCAAATGCGTTGAATTCTTTACATTTCCAAAATCCTGGAACGTTTACTTTTATCTCTTGAGATACCGATTGGCGCGATTGATTATCGGTTAACCGACTCGTTTATTGAGCTCGTATGAAGTATTTGGTCAAATAATCAGTCTTACATATTCTGGGCACTTTCATGAAAATATCCTCTCTAGTTGGAGAGGGACAAGGAAATGAAACAACAAAACTTGTAAATAAAGCATATTTACTCGTAAATTGGACCCAATAATGGAAAACATCATTCTTCTGGAATGATTCATCATCAGACCTTATTAATTTGCATTTAGTTCCTCTCTCCGACTGTCACATTCTCTTACACTTGGTCCCACAATTTCCCTATTCCTTTTTTGTGCTGTCTCGAAGTTTGTCTTTTTGAACTATTGGGTGCTTTTTGTAGGCTTATACTTTCCTATATTTGTCTGATTCATCTACTCTGTTTTCAGTGACTCAAAGTTATTCACTTGTAAGAAATAACCGTTATCGACTTGTATGTTATAACTGAGCATAGAATAACAGAACACAAACATCTACCAGCTTTGTTTTACAAAATATCTACTGTTATCCTAATAAACCTATGGGGTACAAAGGTGTATGAAGTTCGGTCCACACATAGAAGTTCTACAAATGGACACGGTGCTTGTAATGCAGTTTGCCTTAAGAGATTTGAAATAATCTTGGAAATTAATGTAGGAGAGTAAAGTTACTGAGAATTAAGACAATACTACCGAAGTGATCTGTTCTAAAGATATGAATGTAGGTAGTGCCTTCTTACCTAAAAATATTTAATTGAGTAGAACTATCCATATGCTTTCAGTGGTTGGTTATCATGCCTATTTCATTTGTCACAAGCTGAGCTTAACGTTGTATGCATGCGTGCTGGTATGTGTGCCTTATTCCCGTGATTATTTCTGTATACTGCTTTTTTCTTTTGTTTTTACAGTGCGTTGTACACATTTACTGCGTAAAATATAATGGCATATGCAACTGAGAATGGTCCAACTGGTCATCTGCAACCATGTGAAGGTCATTTGCAAGTCAATGATGATCCCATTTTAACTTTGCCCGCTGTAGCACAGTATAATGCAAGTTTAACAGCAGCAGAATATTACCAAACTGGAGGTTATTGGCATATTGGAACACAAATGATGGATTGTCTGTTTCAAACTGATCGTATCGCAGATGTGGCTTTTGATCCATTGGAGGAGTTAATATGGTGTGTGACACGGACAGTAAGTTTGTATATTTTCAACTTGTTTTCACACTTCTTTCTAGGAAAACTTAAACTCACCTCTACTTATCAATTACAACTAACCTTAAGTCTAAGTTCATGTTTGACTCAAAATATCTAGCTTTGAATGCGGTGGATTATAATCTGCAACAACTGACCATTTTTTGTATTTTAGGTAGAATTCGTTCATCAGTCAAAACTTTGACACTACTATTTTTATCCATTGATGACCACTTCATGTTATCACTCCACCCATGCAACAATGTGTTCTTAACCTTGTTATTTCAGTGTTGAGATTTCGAACTTTCGTTGACGAACGTGAGTCACTTTCCCCACAAACATCCATCGGTAAGGCGTATCCCTGCACTAGAAACATTCATTACTTTGATATCATATTGGCAGTTGTCAGCAGACAGTTGCTGCCTTGATGTGGAGGTCAAGCTTGCATATCACAATGATCCAATGAGCTAATTTAGCTGAAACGCTTTTTCCTTGAAACCCTACCATGCCAGGAAGGCCTGTTGGATGTAGTGATAGGACAAAACGCAATTATCGTCATAATGTACGTAGGTTACACTGTAATGGTTGGGTTTGACGGTGAAGTCCACAGGATGAGAGCAGGAAGGTATTCCCCAGAAATGATCGTTAGTATCATGCTGATAGTAAATTCTTTATGGTTCATAGTGTTTAAGAAGGTTTGAACCCGAAAATAGCATACCTCCCTGCCTGGCGGCATAGGCTTTTCTTGTCCGGTGTTAGAACAATCAAATCTCAATTCAATATAACGAACCTCAAGCAGATATCCTATGGGCTCTGTAGTCACACATCCTTTTCTCTTTCAGTTACGCTGTAGAAAAAGCGCCCATAGTGTAGGCAGCTAGTAAGTACCAACCCCCTTCGCGTGTCTAGCAGTATACGAAACACTAATTGTAAACTACCCTCGTTACTTCTATCTCCTTCCTACCTTGCCTTCCCTTCCTTATATACAAACCAAGCCCCTAATAGTTTCCGTAACTCCCCACCCTGTGACTATTTCTTGTAATCTGAACTAACAAAGCACCATTCCCAGTATCCTAAACGCAGCTACCTAATTCACATTGAACCTTTCAGCTCCCTCACACTATGCTAGGTCGGACAATAGGTATCTACAGCCATAGATCTATACTGTGTTTCTGAGACACGGATGCAGGACTTAAGGGAGGTTATTCACTTCACTGCAACTACCAATTAGGTGAATAATCAAAATTCACTTTACTAGTGTTTGGGGACTCGATAGCTCTTAGATTCTTTGGTGTAGGGATAGCATTGTGTTCACGCGCGGGAAGCTCACTTTTCGACTGGATACCAGTCAACGGGTATCTGTGTGCTGTCCAACTGAAGCGATCTGTGGGAACTACAAGGGGTAGTGAGTCTAACCGATGCTTATTCGAAATCTCCACCCACGCGCTCGCCGATTGCAGTTGGGGTGACACAAAGCATGGATTCTATCAAAACTTGTCAATTTTGCTACAGAAAGCAAAATGTTCAGAAATAATCATAATAGCAGACAACTCCAATGCTCAAGTAGGAAAATTGAGCCAGTCTTAAAGGCACCTTAGAGGAATCTGGGAGATCCCATGCAAACAAACCGACGACGGTGATCGTCTCTTGCAACTGCTTTTTGGCTAGAACTAACTTCAAACATAAGGAGAGTCACCGTCTCATATGGCATCCACCGACATCAAACCAACGATGTACACAAATAGCCATCGTCGGTGGGGATTACCACTTTTCTGAAGTACCTGTTTGGTTTCCGATCATCCGTTAGTATGGGGACTTGTGTATTCCCACCTTACTGGTCACGGGAAATAAGTTGTAATGAACCTGTACATGCTCGATTAAAGGATGAGGACGTCAAGTGTGTATTTAAGAGGGGGATAGCTAAGCATTTTTCTGAATGTGGCACCAAATCTCATCCTGAGAAAACCTGGCGTGCTATTCAGTCTACTGTAGGAAACAGCAAAGATAGTTGGTAACCTAGATTCAAAGGTGACTCCTGCAATCTCATCCCGACCGATTAGTGTGCGAAGACTGGTTCCGGCTGGCTCTGGCCACAATGAGAAGCGAAAGCAACTCAGAACAAAATGACAGTTGTGAGTTGGATGGCACCGGCATCGTGCAGTACACGACAGTTTATTCTGGCTTATTACGGTACTATCAAAAAGAAGACGTGGGCTAGTGAGGCCATCTACCAATAAAATGGGTCCATGATAACCTTCCAGAACAGATGGCCACATGGTTCGGAGCAGTAATTTAGAGAACAATTCAATTAATCGATAGTCCTGCTTCAGTCACCCAGCATCCTACTTGAACCTGGATAGGTGTCCATACTCTGGATCTTCATGAAGTTAAAAAGACTGTTTCGAACCTGAAATGATACGAAACAGACCTGGTGATTTCTACTAATGGAGAGTATTCTTCTTGTGACAACCAATGGACATTAGTTTCACTAACACGAATGATGTCTAAGATCCTATGGTCTATATTTATGTGATGCCTTACTGGAGCTCGAAAACAACAAGTATATTTCTGGTGAATCTCGGTCGATTAGATTTTCGTAGGTAGACATGTTCTGTAACATGGGTATACTTACGGAATGCCAACATTTGCCATATTTCTTGATGTAAAGGTGGCACTCGACTCTGTTAATTGAGAGGTGTTGTGGCAGTTTCTGACTGTGAAGGAGATACTCAGCAAGTGTGTAATGCTAGCCAAGGCTCACCACTGAAGCTGATGCAGCTGTGTAAGGGCTTATGAAGAGCTTTCATCTGAATCGATGACAACTATAGTGGTGTGCAGCTGCGTACCTCTGACTTTGTGGGATTGGTCGGCTCTGAGGTAGTCGCATTGTTGGCTTGGAATAGGCAGATATAGTTCCTTTACGTTACAAAATACAGTTTCTGAGCGAGTTGAAAAGTCTGATTTATGTTTGGCATGCGTTTTGCACCTGTCAAATGTAGGATGACGTGTCTCCAGCTACTCCCATTTTATGGATGGGATATGAGGTGGTATAATGCGTTAACTGCTTTCGTCGCTAGGAAAATTGTGTCGATCGATGGGGGTTGGTTGCTGACGAAATCCGAAGACCCATTTGGCTTAGTCTACTTTCATCATCTCTGGCGCCGGTGAGTTATCTGGTTACCTGTTTAAGAACGAGTGTATAGCGTTGCAATTCTCTCTGTCTATGGTGGAGCTGTGGGATCTGGTCTCTGAAAGGGAAAGATACGAAGAGATTGCAGATTTCTTCGCAACATTGTTCAAGCATGATGGACTCGGCATGTGAGCAGTATCCGGACTAGGCGAAGGTTACTATGTGGTGGGCAAGCCATTCGATGAGATTGTGTACCCTGATCTACGGAGTTGGCTGTAACATGTGTTGTGCACGCTTATTCACCGTCTGCCTCATCGCACAATGCTGACTGAAGTAGGTTTAGGTTGGTAAAAAGTTAGACGTGGCCTGACCAAAACATGACATCAGTCCTCGAATTCTGTGACTTCTGCTCTGAGCCGTGTAAGGGAATTTTGGCTTCCCAGTTGGGGGTACTACTGACAACATAATGCAGTCGTTAGAGACCATGTAATATGACTCAGAATCGGTGTCAGTGATACAGCTGTACCCCCACATTTCTTCTTGATCGTTCTACTGAATTTCAGTATTGTTTCATTTCTGCTTGCTTTGTTTTTATTAGTGTCTACCACTTTTGACTGCTTCCTTCCTTATTTCTTTATTTTAATCTTATTGCTTCGTTACGTGATGTGCTGATATGAGATATGGCAACTTGGACCGTTCCCAGTTATCCCAGGTTCTTTGTTGATATAGTCTGACTGACTGTTTGTTGAACTATCAAACAGAAATAGCGCAGATTCGTCAGTTTACCTATTGCTAGTGGCTGTGCACATGGTGTGACATAGTTGCATGTCGTTCCCAATCGGCCTACACTCAGAGACAAAGAAGCAAACAATCAAAAACAGGGGAATGATCAACTGCAGTAAAATAAGGTTATTTGTAAGACATAACTTACTCGGTTTTTCATTGGTTTAGTTTTTAGTTATCTCTTGCGATAGGTGTGATATTGGCAGCCACTTATGCAAAAAAATGAATAAGTTCGACTTGCTATCTTTTGGAACTCCACTGAAGGCGAGAATCGTAAATAAACACTGAAGGTGTAAAAATGTCTAATGGTATAAGACACTCAGTATCTTGAGAAAGATGGAGAGTGAACTTATCTCTATCACTGTGGATCAGTTTCGAGACGTTGCATTGTGTCTTCGACTAAGAATTATGCTCTTCTTTACACTTTTCATACCAGAAATCAGCGACTTCATGGATGTTGCATCTCACTCTGACCACCGTCACATTTTGTCTAACCTAATCCTACTCTAGCCAACAGAATCGATTGTGTTTGGCTATATAAAACGCATATCGCAACCACTTCAGCCGGTATCAATTTACGCGTTGATCAAGTAACTTACTTTCGTTGTCTGAAAATATGATCCTGATTATAGTATTGTCGTTCATCCTGTTATCCAGTCACATACGAGCTATGCTCCGATGAGGCTTACGACCGATGGAGTTGAGATAACCTGTCGACCACTACATTCTCTACCCTTCAGCTAGAGTTATCGGGATTAGTCAATTCTCAAGCATAATCTCACGTTTTTCTAGTGCAAGTATTCCTTACTAAGTGTTGAGATGGATGAAAACCTACTCCAGAAAAATGTCCAATATATACATGCCAACTCGATAGTATTGATTGGTGATATTGATGTGTGTATAAATCAGTTATGCTTAAAACCATCCGTGTATATTCATCTGATTGTCTGTGAGCTTCTCTCGTTTATGAGACCCTATCGTTTCTTTTTAAAACTCTAATTGAAGTAAATGAGCTGTTCTCCTGCTCATTGGCAAACAGTTCAACCGTTGAACCGCAGCTGGGATATATGAGACTCAGTAGCTGAAGTTAATTAGTTACACACCATGTAATTGCCTACGTTGTGCCAATTTGAAATATTTATATCCCCATGTTACCATATTGCAGCTAATTTCAACAGATTTGATGTAATTGATTGATTTTAAAATTCATTTGTTTTATCTCTTTTGAATAGGGTCAAATGAGTGCTTTTTATTCAACGACTTTAGAGCGTTACATCACTCTTACTGTTCCTTTAATCTCTGATGTGAACTCTTTTGAAACTGTAGTACCGTACAGTGAGCTGAAACAGGTATTCCCATCACCTCGTCTCATGGAGCATTCTGTTTTCGTTTTAGCCAATAATGCACTACATGCCTATACAAAAATGGGTAGGCCACTAGCATCCGCTGTGTAAGTTCTGTGAATTTGTAGTGAATGTAGTACGATAATTTGTTGAATTGTATGTACATATGGTGTTATGGTGTTGAGCCCCATGATATTCATATTTTGTATAAGCTGTCTCTCTCTCTATTATAATTAAGCACTACTGCTGCTTTTTCTGTTGAGGTGAAAGAGGCGGCGGAAACTCAAAAGTTTATGATGCCTTCCAGGATTGAACCTAGAAATCTGAAATTCAGCTCGTTGTAGACTGACATCTCAATATAATGAGGAAAAGAATCGTTAACTTTCACATTTTCGAAGCTGAATTATTCTTTGTACGTCAGTTCTCAGAGTATAATGTTAGCCCATTGTAACAAGGATTTAATAATAGGTGTTTTCGTAGCATTCTTCGTGTTTGGTGGGATCTTTACGTAAGCAATGTTAAGGTCAAATGAAGGGTACTAGGCAAGATAGCCAAGTCGATTAATAAAGCTGTGAACTTTCATACTCTGATATGACCTAGACCTGTACTGATCATGTCGAGTGCGCCATCCCCTACCTCGACATAGCATGCTAGGAGAAGTTGGATTAGGTTGGATGAAGGGTCAGGGTGGCCAAACGAAGATGTGACACCAGTCGATGAAGTCTCTTACTGTTAGTCTGAGTCGTGTGGGGAGATGCAGACTGTCTGGTTGGGGTCTCTGAGACGACAGAAATCAGTGGTTTGGGAATCTTGGTGAGACAGTTGAAAATCGGTCACAGTGGTGTGTGCTTCAACGCACTCGTTGTCCTCTTCTAAAGCTTGGATATTTGCACTAACCGTTATCTTTCACACAACTTTGTCCACTTTAATATCACTTTTTTCGACCCACCTATTGTTTGTGTGCTACTGTGAAGTGTGGCAACTTGAACCAATCCATTTGAGCGGAAAGTTCTACGTTGATTTTGTATTTCTTTCTGTCCATCGTAACTGGTTGTTCTAAAATTGAGTGGATAGACTGCATGTAGTAGAGTCAATATTAGAAACATGTACTTCTAATATCGAATGGAAATCCACTCAAACGTTTTTGCACTTTCGTACAGAAGGCAGTCAGCTATATCTATTGTATGAAGGCTAATGGTACTACCTAGCTGTCGCCCAAAGCTCGGTAGGTGTAACTACAAATAATATCAGTAAGATTCATACCAACTTTTAGAGAAGGGCTAGGCATTGAGTATTTTACTGTTATATCCTTTGTTGACGGCGAAGTCTTCTTTTTCATTAGTTATCCAAAGTTATAGAAGATTGTGTATGCTGAAAATTACTACTGAGTGTTATTCTACTTAGGACGTAACAAGTTAAGTTGAGTTACGAAGTGCCCAAGATGATGTAATTACGGTTTTCTCAATGATGCAGTTCAAAGCGCCTACCATATTGAAATGATTCTTCCAATCTCATTTATCTCCTCACTTTCCTAACATTCTCTTAGCAGGATGTAACCGAATTTTGATGGATTGACTTCTGTCGGTACTGACGGATCAACGACTGCATCGGTTAACATCTTGTGACAGTATTGTCTTCACTCACTACATTGACTGTTCACATTTCTAATTCATGACTCTAGCATTTCATGGGTCAGGGAAAAATGGACACTGCGAATTGAGTCCCTTTAAACCGACAACTACATCCATTCTATTACGATGCTGTGTAGAGTGTAACTGCACTCTGAGAAGACTGGTATACTGTCTTGTATCCATCTTGGCGACTAGCAGTGGAATTCATGATGCACGTTCCACCTGATTTGCGACTCTTCACTTGGATATACCTGCAACCCAGTGAGTGGTGTTGTTCCCATTGAAACTCTAACCCAGTGCCCATTGAGTTAAACGCCAATGCGTTATCCACTAGACCACTGAAACACGAGAGCCACTTCTTGTGAATCAGTCACTGATACTTTTGATCTCCCGTTGCCCTAGTGGCCTCGTGGATAACGCTCTGGCGTTTAAAGCGATGTATACTAAGTTCGAGTCTCAGTGGGAACAAAGTCACTCACTGGGGTGCAGGTACATCCAGCTGACGAGTTCCAAGTAAGGTGACGTGCTCGTCTTGAATTTCATTGTTAATCATCAAGATAGATATAACGTAATGAATAATCGACAGTATCCAAGCGTCCGCGCCGTAAGAAGACCATCTACCAACAGGGCTCGAACAGTTCGATCCTGTATAGCAATGAAATACTGTCTGTTCTATCGCCTATCATGTATGTATTTAAGGGAGACATATTTTATTTTCTTGTATGTTCCTTCAATAACTTTCCATTTTGTTTTTCTAAAAAATATTAATTATACAGACATAAATTTATGCTTGAACTGGAATGTTTAGCTGTGACAGGTCCGACAGGCGCTTTCCCAGGACCAAGTATTAGAAGCGGGGGTGCCGGTAGTTTCTCAAGATTTTTCTTAGGCGGCCTTCAACCAACCTTACTGGAAGTTGATGCTACTGAACGTTGGGGTGAAGTGATCAGTACCATAGATGTTGGCATTGGAGGATCTGTAGTTCTTAGACCATTCAGTGGTGGATTGTGTGCTGGAAATACAAATGGGAAAGTAAGTTTTCTTTTCATAATATATTATATCAGTTTTGACGATGCGGTAAGTACTTTTTCCCGCCATCATTTCACATTATCATCTCTAAGTGAATGTGAGTGTGCAGACACTCAGCAGTCTCGTAATTATCTTTGCTAATACTTATGTGCATCACTTGTGTATGGTTGAATTCAGTTATCCTTGGTACATGAAAACGTGCGTCAAGAAAATGTTAACTGTTACTGCTAGAAAATCTATGGAAAGAAAATGTTAAGAAAGGAGATCTCCAAAGGAAGAGAGTGTGAATGTATCTGGGCTGATGCAACCAATTACATGCCAAAATCATTTAAAGTTTCTTATCATCAGTTTCAATTGTTTCATGAATCTCAGACAGGAAGTTTACAGTCTGGAGCATGACTAAGCTTCTTCTGAGTTTTCTTATCGCTGACTTGTCACTTGTTGTTGTTATTGTATCTTCTGGGAAATTATCCCTTCCAAATTGTGTTGTGTTTACCGTGATCGAAAATAATTTTTATCAGTATTATACTCATATACCTTTTTGATTTTCGTTTTTTCTCTGTCTTAGGTTATGATTATTGATCCACGTACTAACCATGGTATTGTACGCGAGTTAGACGCGCATACGGGCGAAATTTCTGATATTACAGTTGATGCACATAGCCATACATTGGTTACTTGTGGTTGGTCACGTATCGGAGATTCTGGACTACGTGTGGATCGTTTGTTAAGAGTAAGTGTTTGCATTTTACTGAACTCGTTTGAGGTTGATTTCCTTTTCCAGCGGTTTCTGGGATATTCACATTGACATAGGCTTTTTCTTAGCATCTGAACTTCGTGTGTTCGATGGACACCTTGGCGGTCTGTGTATAAAATCCCATGTATGGATGAAGGTGCTCATTGATGAGGGATATGGATATGAAGCCAAATATATGTACAGTGTCCTTTGTCTTTCAGCAGTTCTCAATTAAGTGATATTTTGTGATAAAGATATCTTGAAGTTTTATTATTCGATGCCATGCAATGCAGGTGTTCTTCGATTACTCTGGGTTCATCAAACATCATCCGCTGCATTTCACGTTATACCCATATGTATTTATTCATTTCTTAATATTCAATTTCATGTTAGTTTGTGTGACTAATTTTACTTCAGTCGTTTCACTACAGAGCAAATCTTCAACCCACCTTTTGTTATGTATCGAATTCGGCGGATACTGCCTGACTGCTTCGAAGTCTGTTCATTTTCGTTTGCAGAATTTATTAGGCCTCAAAAATGAAGTGTTGAGGTTGTTTCTAGACGTAAAAATAAGCTACATTGAAGCGATTGTTGTAAGTGTTCGTTTCTGAAATTCTAACTTGGTTGAACTACTCAGCGACAGGTTACTTCCATATCTGCAAGTTGCTTGCATATCAGAACGTTATCGATGAATATTTTTATTTAGGGTAACCTCAGGTTCAAGTACTTGATGCGAATATGAAGTTCATCAGGTAGGGAATACCAGATAAGTCAGCTGAGTCATTGAATGAGATGACAGCTGATTTCTGTACTACATAAGTTGAATCACTATTACCTCATTGTGCATACCCACTTTTGGTAGAAAGATTAAATTAGGAGAGAAACAGTCAGACAGACAAAGCCAAAGAAGAAGATATGAAGCAATTAGAGGGTTTTGATCACACATCTATTCGTAGCATTCCTCGCATTTGGTGGAATCACCTTGTGAGAAATGTTCAAGTCAGGCGAAGGGTTCTAGGCAAAACGGGCAAATTGATTAATGAAGTTGTGAACTTTCATCTATTAATATGGCTTAAACATGTACTGCGCGTGCCGAGTAAGCCACCCCTTACCTCGACGTGCCATGCTAGGAGAAGTTGGATTAGGTTGGAAGATGGTTCAGGGTGGCTAGATCAAGACGTGGGGAGGGGGGTTGATGGATTTTGCCCTACTTCTAAGCTTATGGCTCACCAGTTTTAGCAATCATTTATCATTAGTATGTTCTACGCGCAACGCCTCAACCTGCAAAAGTTAACCAATCAAATACATGAGGCTGTACGTATAACTGGTAGTTGGCATTATTTTTTTGGATTTTTTCATTGAACCTCTTGTTTTGATGAAAACTTTTCCATATTGGTTGTTTAAATATGTATTGTGTAAATTATTTGAAAGGAATGATAAAACGTAATGATAGATGCAATCAACATAGAAACTCGTGCTCAAATGGATTGGTTCAAGTTGCCACACTTCACAGTAGCACACAAACAATAGGTGGGTCGAAAAAAGTGATATTAAAGTGGACAAAGTTGTGTGAAAGATAACGGTTAGTGCAAATATCCAAGCTTTAGAAGAGGACAACGAGTGCGTTGAAGCACACACCACTGTGACCGATTTTCAACTGTCTCACCAAGATTCCCAAACCACTGATTTCTGTCGTCTCAGAGACCCCAACCAGACAGTCTGCATCTCCCCACACGACTCAGACTAACAGTAAGAGACTTCATCGACTGGTGTCACATCTTCGTTTGGCCACCCTGACCCTTCATCCAACCTAATCCAACTTCTCCTAGCATGCTATGTCGAGGTAGGGGATGGCGCACTCGACATGATCAGTACAGGTCTAGGTCATATCAGAGTATGAAAGTTCACAGCTTTATTAATCGACTTGGCTATCTTGCCTAGTACCCTTCATTTGACCTTAACATTGCTTACGTAAAGATCCCACCAAACACGAAGAATGCTTCGAATACACGTGTGGTCAAAGCTCTATAACTACTACTTTTAACGCCTAGATATTACAGCGTATAACAGGACAGGACAGACTGCGACGCGTTGTAGTTCAATTTTCTTTTAAGTGGTAGTTAAACATCTCAGCTGGCGCTACGGGTTATGCAAGTTGGCACATACCACATGGACCTTCTGTAACCGACTTTAGATTTCGTCAGTAACTAGCTTGTTCCATAACTCTTCAAGTAAAGTTGTGAACACATTCCACCACTTTACTCTTTATCATTAAACTGGGAATAGTCGTATGCCATCCTTTATTTGGCAAGTGCAAAGCGTACACCCAGAAAGACAACGGAATACTGACTGACTATTTTTGTATTAGTCAGTCATTCGAAATTTTCTTATTGGGTGTAGTCATTTCTGGCGCAATCTTGTTCATTGGCGTAGGTACTCCTTAACGTGTAAATGATGTTTTGGGTGTAAACTTCACTTCACTAACCTGGGCAATTGGAAAATATCATAGATCATTACACTTCATGTGTGGTTCATAGCCAGTTAAACAAACCCTCTTCCCGTTGGTGAGTTATATAATTATCTCTCAACTTTTCTTTTCAGTAGCCCCCTTTCCTCTGGATACGTGGTCATTGCCAAAGAGTTGTTTTATTGTTATTATTATGACTGTTTTACATACACAGGTATATGATCTTCGATCAGGTCGTGCGCAAGTCCCACTGTCCGCATCACTTGATCCATGTTTTGTTCGCTTTATCCCCGGTTGTGGTGACAGTCTACTGATAGCTTCTCAGACAGGTGCCTTCCAGACTATCCAATGGGGAAAAGTGGTGTTTTCACCGAACGACTTAGGTCAAGTATGGCTAAACTATGACCGACTAGTTGCTACAGATATTTCGCAAAAGTAAATTATTCTTTTGTAAAAATTTATTTTGATATCTTTGCTTTGATACAAGTGATTCAATTTTAGCATATTTGAGAGCATATTTTTGTCTTAAAACAGATACGATTGTAGCAGAAATGAACGAATTTGCGAAGTATAACATCGTAGGGAAACATGAATTATACTACTTAATAACAGCAAGTAGTATAAAACTGAGAGTATAGAAAGGTTAACACCAAATGGTGTAAACGAAAACAAGATGAGGAAAGAATTGGTATAGTGGTTGCTCGATTCAAGCCTCAGAGGGGAACACTAACACGATTGTCAGTATATACAGTTTTTCCACCTTTTCAACATTTCGGTTCACTAAAATCGTACCAATCAAAGCATCAAAATAACCTTTATTAATTGATAATAGGCATAAATTAGCTAAACCATGACGCAGATCTGTTGTAGCATCTCTGCGTGTGGTATAGAACCATGTATTGTGTTGCACCGTAACCTCAACATGGCCATGAACAACCCTCTCTAGGCTGAAGATCGTTGTTGGTAAGCGTAGTTCACTGCCGTGTCACTACGATTTGGCCAAAGATCAGGCTGCGCAACTTTTTCACTGAAACACTGGAGACTACTTCGTATAACTTGTGGTTAACCGATGAAATTCCACCGGGATTCACCCATGAGGCAGGTAAACAGCTCAGTGGAAACGTCGTTTGTAACACTGAGCAATCCAACTTCAAGGATCTGCCTGATGTATATACATACTTTACTTGATTATCGCCAACACGCATGAAACCGCAATCCAATTGTGCTTCCTACTGGCTATGTTTAAATTTCTTATTTCTTAACTATGGCTGGTAGACTCTTACTTGTGAATATCACCAGACAACAATGCTGGACCTTGTATAACTACTTCATGATCTAACCTGTCACATTTAACGTCACCCCGTCAAGTCCCAGAAAGTAACATGAGGAATTGTATAGAGCAAAGAAGTGTAAAGATAAGGCGAACATAAAAAGAGGTATGAAAGTATCTGCACTATTGTAACCGACGTTGGTTCAAACCACCTAGACTATCCGATCATCGGTTCTGATTGTTCTACAGACTCCGTCCAGTTAACTCTGGATTATCTTTATCCCAATGTATCAGTTGATATTCGTTTTACTCCTCTGTTAAATAAGAATCCGAGTGTTCTGTTGAAGAAGCTGTGGGATGCACATTGAAACGTTCAGAAGTTCTTGTTTTGATTTTCTAAACCCCTTTGGGATTATATCAAAATTCACTTATATAACATTTCTTCTCCTTTCTTAGTGGTAACTGTGCAGTTTTTGCTACTGAAGCTGGTCAACTTCAGCTGTATATACGCGATTTAAATGTGTGCCAATTCAACACTTCGCCGTTACCAACAGAATTCGCGTCTCCATTCGCTGAAAGTCTATGGCCTACAAATACACTGCAGACTGCAATCCCTGTGAATTATTCCTTAATGATATTTGATAATCCTGATAGTAGTTTGTATGGGACAAATCTAGCTGTGATAGGTAAAACAGCTGCAGAATCTGTTAGTCTACAAATGATGGCCGCTTCTTTGCATCAACCCACTGGGAGTATGAACAGTCCTAATTTTATAGATCTGGTAGAACGGAGAAAGGCTGAATTGGCTAGAGAAGCTGTCTTAGCTGCTTACAAACCTATTGAATATGATGACTATCGTTTCTCACTGGCTAGTGTTCCGTTTGCAGCCTATCCACCTCCGATATTTGATCCAACAAATCCAGTAGCCGAACAGTCTAGTTTAGTGTGGAAGTCGAAATCGGATAAAATGTGTACATCGGATTGGCCACAAGACTTAAACGAGTCACAACGCAAGTAATTTTAAATGTTTTTAGAGCATTTTTCTTCTCTTCAGCGTAAATTAACAGTCTCTGTTTGCATGTGTTATTTCTTCACTAATGAGATGGTTATTTGTCTTAGTGTTAACGAGTTTTTCACCAGCATGCCTGAAAACTTCGACATGGAGTGTTTGGTCTCTCCCGATGTTGTTATTTTTGAATTTGGTGCATATTCGACTAGGTCATAGTAACTCAGCATGCGTAGTGGGAAATGGTTGGCTTCTTTGCGTACTCTCTAGTTAGTCCATCACTAAATGATCGATGACGGGAAGATAGGGAAATCAATCAGTCAGGGGACTTCAATCACATAAGCCCATCATGGCTACCAAGCCTCGTTTTCCTTCTTTAGTAACTGTTTTCGGTGTAAGATGTTTCCACAAGCCATTGTGCTCGCTGTCAACAGTTTTAAGCGACAGGTATCAATAAGTTGTAATTAGCTCAGAAACCCGATGTTTATATATGGTGAAGACCTGAAATAGGTATTGATATATGCAAACCTTCGAAATATGATCTAAATTATCTGACTTGTAACTAATTCATCCCCACTTATTGGTCTAATATCTTTTCTTTGGTCTTAGACAGCCAACCTGCACATCCTCGTCCGCAACTAGCTCGAAGATATCTTTCATGTGCGCTTGAAATCATTCGGTTCATGGTGGAACTCATCTTCAGTTTCATCCGAACACCAGCCCTTCGGAGCTTGGTCAGAGACCACAAGTAGACATTGTTCCTCTCACCGTCTACCGCTCAATGCAGCCGAAATTTGTATTCTAACAGTGCACATGACTGTTAATGAAGACCCCATCAGCTTATACAGCTCAGTTTCTTGCGCGTGGAACATGTCTTTCTACTTCATAAATGGAGAACAAATTCCGAGCACTTCATTGGGCATCGGTAGTGTTGCTCTCCAGAGTTCTAGCCAAATATATATGTTGTCCAATGTGTACCAGTACGCAAGCATCGATGATATCAATACACAGACAATAGGCATTGTTTTAGAAAAGCTGAGTCAGTTCTTCATGAAAGCCTTTGTTTGTTTTTTGAAAACGGTATCGAAAAAGCAGTATTTCAGAAAGGCGCGGTTATTTGGGTGAAACGCGAGTAAAGAGAAATAAAGTTAAACAATACAGATAATGCTTAAGAAATAGCAACAACTACCTACGGACCTTAGATTGAATTACTGGATCCGATTATTTGCGATGAAGTCGGATGATTAATTATTTCAGAGTTCCATTGTAGAATGTTGTAATAACTCGAACACTGTCCAGGTGCTCATACAGAAGTGGATTATCGCTCCAGCGAACCTCTTCTAACTCTTTGATTTAAAACCGAATCGACAAGGTAGAAGAACAACGTTATAAGCTGCATTGTCATGGTTCGTAACCCTAAAGTAGAATCATGTGCTGTTCACTTTGCTGCTAGTGTGCATCACTGGCTTGGATTCAACGTATTTCAACCCTCCTAGCTGAACCTCTGCATCGACTGATCAGTTGATAAGTGCAATATAAAAAATAATTTAAAGGAATTCTACTGCAAAGCTATGCAGAATCGTTTAACCGGAAACGTGAGTACTACCCACCCTCGACCACATCAAGTCATATTTCTAACAGAGAGAGGAGGGAATAGTTGTTGTTCGATACGTTCGTATAATTTTCCGTGTAGTTGAACGAAGAAATGTTTTTAATTCACATATTTGTATACTGCTTATACACGGCTAGCTAGTTGTCGTCGGTCATTGGAGTTAATAAAACTCAGTGGTTAGTTAACTTGATCACAAGTCTACCTAATATGTACAGATACATTCTCTCTCTCTTGCTCAGAAAATTAACCATTTTGTTACTTACTACCTTCTAATCTTTTCACCTTTGTTAATTTTCCCTTTCTCATTTCCTACAGAGTGATGGAGAAAGTTGATTCAGACCTACTGAACAATGCCAATCAGAAGAGAGCTGTTCGCAAACCACCTCATTGGGGTTCAGTATGGCATCCATATTCATCAGACATAACAATGACCACAGCAGCACACACAGATGTGAATGATAAATCAGGCGGCGCTTATTCTAATCCCTTACAGTTGGGTCGGTTCGAGCACACAACAGAACAAGTTACAACAACTACTGTTAACATTAATTCCACTACCATTACATCGTCTACATCAGCATAATTACTCATATTATATCAAATTTCCTACAGCCATGTGGTTATTTCGTGTGCTTTTTTCGTTAAAAAAAAGTAATTCCCGTTTTTCACTGTAGTCTCCCTGACCAGATAATTTCAAAAATTGAGAATATAGACACTATAATTACACTATTCGCACATTACTACTATTATTGTTATTAGTGGTACCCATTTATTTTTTAGTAGTTTAACAGTTTTTGTCCACACATTCAAGCCACATAGATAAAAGTGAAAGGAAGTGGAGTGGAGGGAAATTTGTCTTTCTGCATATTGTGTTTCCAATATCCATTAATCGTTTGGCTGTTGCTTGTCACTTTTTAAATTTTCCTTAAAAAAAAGCTTATGTACAAAATTTTGCTTAGATTTTCTTCGTTCTTGTGACTTAAATCAGTTTACCCTTTTTTTACACTGTATATCTTTGCAAATAGACAAATAGATAGATAGATAAATCAGTGTATCTTACCTGTATACCAAACTCCGATTTGTCATTCTTTTCTAGTGTTATTTTTTTTACATTAAAAAAGAGTGTATACTTAGCCGGTAGATTGTTCATTTTATTTATTGCTTGTGTGAATTGATTGAGAGGTGAATAATAATCACACTGAAATACTCCATCTGGTTGCAAAATCATTCAGTTAAGTGTACCAGTTAACATGAGAAGTGGAGCTGTTGTGTAGTGGTTCATATTGCCACAACTCACATCAGAATACAAAGAAGATGAAGGAAGAAGAAATGCGAACAGTGTATTCAGTGGTCATAGAAAGTTCACGAGACAAAAAGTTAGAAAAGGGCTAGGACAAACAATGGAGATGAAGGTAAGGCGTGGGAATGGCATTGTTACGTACCATTGCAATCAGTTGTCTCACAAACCACAACCCGGGAGTTTTCATTTTCCTACACAGCACAAAATAACAGATAGAGATTCCATGGACCGATGCCACGTTTCACTCTGATCACCTTTGCCTGTCTTAATTCTAATTAAGGTGTAGGGTAGAAGCTGATTATTTTTCTGCCTCGTAATATCTTACACTTCGTTGAGGTTCTGTAATATCAGAATATAGAGCATGACTTTTAATTGCGGGAAAGTACCTTATTTGAAAACTATTTTTACGCTTATCAAAAATGCAGCTGATAAGTTTTTTTTGGACCGAATTAACATCCTGGTGTGTTGTTAAGTACGTTTATTCCTGTCATATAGTAGCAAAAAGGAAAGTTTGAAATCTCAGTGACCTAGAATAGTTCCTTTCTGTTTTGTCTGTTTCACCGGTTCGAGGCCAAATCCACCTACCGAGGTTTGGGCAGCCAGGTAATATCATTTTCCCTCACACACTATGTGAGGCTCATCTACTGCACGGATGTGCATAAGGTGATTGAGTGCATTTCATTCATCAGTTTGTTGTACTATATAGAATTGGTGCACACACAGAATAGTGCTGCTAAGATGACAACTTGTCATCAGCTGATATAATACAATGATTTTGAAGTAAGATTAACATACTTTGACTGCAGATGTTGTACTGTAAAATCTTTTCTTTCTTACTATACTGGATGATGATTGAAGGTGAAATAAAAATGTGGGCCTTCAGTCATCACCCAGTATCAATATAAGTTTGTTAAAGCGCACCTGTCTCAAATAGCCAAACTGATATTCTTATTATATTCACGTTTATACGGGGAAACCAAGTGTGAAAACTATAGTTATTTATGAATCTCTACTCATGAAGCTGGTATGATATGAAATTAAGCTAACATGATAAGGTTCAGAATTAGTAGGTTTCCCAGACTGCTTCTAACCTGATGTGGTGGTCAAATTTGCATACTACCGTAACTCAGCGAGATGTGCCGGTAGAAACAAATGTTCACTTGAGGTCCTACCATATCTGAAAGGTCAGTGGGATAGTGGTAAGAGAAAACGCGGTTACCATTACCGTTTAATACACTACTTTATGATGGTAATTGTAGGGTGAAGTCGTACTGCTGGCTGGTTGGGATTGTGACGACAGTAATGTGCTTCTCATGGGAAGGTGGGTTGGAAACGTTTGGTCCCTAAAATAGCGCACCCATCTCTACCTTGCTTCATGGATTTATAACTGGATCTGAAACAAGCGTGGACCTCAAACTTCCATAAAGGCTATGTGGTCAGCCTCAAGTAGATATCTATTGGCTTCTGTGGTCACATACCACTAACACAACTTGTTTTCAGGTACCTCAAGAACAGGTAATCACCACGTTGTAGGCAAACAGGAAGTGTCAACCGCCCTCACATCTCTTACAGCGTACAAGCGTCATCTGAGCATTATCAGCCTTCCATGTTTTTGCCTTCAACTTTTTCCTCATGTCTTTCTCATTATTCCTGAATCATTTTTAATTCTTCCAGTTCTGAAGCTCTTGATAACAATTTGGACTCAGAGAGCGTTATCTCTAGTTCCCTGTAACTGCACTCCAAATTACACATTGGAGCTTCCAACATGTACACCCTCCGTCAATTCGGAACACAGGCTTTGCCAACCGAATCTCGAGCCATAGATGTGTGCTGTTTGTCAAATGCGCGTACTGGACGGACCCAAATACTGTTATTCATCTAGCCTCACTCTATCATTATTGTGTATCCGAGCTGAGACTTCGTCAGCAACCAGCCCGTTCGGGCTGATGCAACTGCCCAAGTAGGCAAAGTAGTCAACACATTCAACCACTTCATTGCCCATCATTCAATTCGGAGTAGTTGCAGACTACTTGTGGAGCATAATCATACATTTGACAGGTGTGAAACCTATGTCTAACACTCAGATTTGTGTGTATTCACGGTGGTATCTGTCAAGGATGCTCGCTCTCTCCATTTTCTAAAGAATTTTATCATGGGCGTACTTGCGGGGGTCTCCCTATCATCGTCTGAATTCCAAGGGATTGATCTTACCACAGGAGATTCCTTAGTAGATCTAGAGTGGGGAGACAACATAGTCCTGTTAGGCGAAGACCCTGACGAGATGCAGAGTCTTCTTGACACATTGAGAAGTAATTTGAGAATGTTTGAAATGCCTTTCTCACTACTCAAAGCAAGTCATTATTCCAGAATTGGTCTTCCATGCTGCCTTATCAAGCGTAAAATTTAAAATTGATTGCAACGTTGACCACTTCATATGTCTTGGACGTCAGATCACCCTTTGTGATTGAGTGGCTGATGAAATCTTTTCAGTTCGCTCTGTCTCACTATATGACTGTGAAACAAGGTGAATAAAGTAGGGTAGGGGACATGAAACCCTTTCAGGTGCTTGATCAGCGTTGCGTTTGTAGCAAGGGCAGGGGTGTATCGTGGTGTCTAAGCGTGAGTTTTTGGAAGACCTAGGTTGATTGATCTCTAATTCATTTTCATCACAAATTGAGATCGACTAGGGAAGCATTGGAAACGACGGAATGCTCACCAGCTGCTTCGTCCTAATTTAGGATTCCTGATCAGTCTACACCTATGCGAATGCACTGCCAGACTTGCAATTAAAGGAGAAATAATTGACAGGCCACCCTTGGCTTTCAGTGCCTAGTTAGGTAGTTGATGCCATTTAGTGATGAACGCTGCCTTGAAGGTTTACAAGTAATCGCAGAGGAGACTCTTTTTGGGCATATTTGAAGCGAGTTGTAGAATTCTCGAGTTGAATACAGATTTCCAACTATTAAGCATATGATATGTCGCTTTTACTTACACACAGTCCACTGACCCCTCCTGCCTTAGGGATTTCTCAGCTCTTCTGTTATGTAATGAGAAAAGTCCAGTCTCAAGGTAGGCACATTACGACCGTGTCGCTAACCACCTAACGTGAATGTCGACACAATGCATCTTTGTCCTACTAGAGGATGTATTACTGTTGTAAATAAATATTATCAAATGTATCCGCCTTCACTATCAGCCTCCTGGACGTCACAGGTTGTCTTTACAATCTTCTAGTAGATATACATTTGATGTCAGTCTTTGTTGAAAACATCCAGTCTCATACAAACTACCTAGTTGAATATACATCGACGTCCCACTGTTAAGGTGCTTTCAGACGAATATTCAGAAGTTTTAGTGAGAAGTTGTGACTTGTGGATGGAGACATCGATCTATATTGTTGGGGTATGGTATCCAGTATTATTATTATTATTTTTCCCTTGGGCTTCTGGTGGAATATACGGCTTCAGTAGCACGCCTCAATTGCACTCTCTTCTCCACAGTCTTTTGAACCTGGTGCCATGACTGCCCACAAGCCTTCATTTCTTCCTCACCATACGATCTCCTCCATGTCACCCTCGGACGCCCAACCCGTCGTTTTCCCTTTAGGTTCCACTCGAGGGCCAGGTGCATGATGTCCCCATAAGGTCTTCTCAGTGTATGCCCAATCCATCTCCACTTTCGTCTGCATATTTGTTGGCTGATAGTTCTTGGTTGGTTCGTTACCAACCAGCTAGAGTTCCTTGTTGTTTATTCTTTCTGGCCATTGATCTGGCATCCAGTAACAAGGGTTGAAATACATTTCCATAATGTTGCGATTTGGTTTCGATCAGATAAATCTAATCGTGAGAACAAGTGGTAGGGTTCTAACTGGGAAATAAGCATATTGAACTCGATAAGTGGTACTACTCACATAAGTCGAACGATTGGCAGGACGGTCGAAACTTCAGCTGAGTGAATAATGATATTCACATTGGTTGTACGATGGATGGCCTTTCTTCCCAACTTTGACCAACAACTTGCTATTTTGAAGTTTTTGGGAATTATTTATTAGTTTCAGCTTGGTATTCATCATGGAATGATATCAGTGGAGGAACATTGGAAACTGGGAGCACTGGACAGCTGTTTCGTCTTAGTATGGGATTCCTCAGCTGTGCGCACCCGTGAACCCTCCAGCGATCGAACCAAGTACCTTCAGGTTCCACGTCCAGCACGTTACCATTGAGGTGGCCACTGGGTTGGAATCCAATGGCCCCTATTTCCTACTTCTATCAGTTCACGACATA